ACATGGGAACATCCATTCAACCACTTCATGGATGAAGTAATGCTCGACATATCGATAAATCCCCCAAGACGAGCACGTCGAAAGAAATCTCGCAGAGGCTCCCCATAACTAATACGGTCCTCTCGAGCAAGCGACTGACCCCTTCGGTATCACTGCTCGTTCATCCATAATATCCCCCGACACACTCGAACTTGTCCCCCATGCGGGCAACAACTCGTTCCTTTCAGAGGACTTTGACCATCCTCCTCGATTAAGTCTCCAGCATCGAGAGCTGAACTCAAGTCACCGCCATTTTTCTCAAGAGAAATAACTTGGGGGGATCCTGATCTGGATTAGGCCTACACTTACCCTTCGAATGGGAAGCCCAAAAATAGATCCCAAGTTAGGGACCGTTGAGCAACTCCCCACACGACCGTTGGAGGACATGGCCCACGATCCTACGATAGTCATCTTAAACTGCCCTCCGGGAATCACGGGTCCAACCCTATTCTCGCGGAGCAGTTGACCAGGGGGGAGTCCACTTGCTGGACTCCATACACACGTAAGCCCTGTCAGTTCCTGTTATTGGGCCTCAACGTGGCACAATAATGGGGACCTTGGCCCAGCGCTAAGGGCTATAAAAACCTCTCTCCTAAGAGGGTCAAATATTCAACATTTTCTAACTCTTAACACTTGTTTGCTCATTCCGCAACTTACTTTGCCATCAGAGTGACTTGCAGGTACCCCCATCTCATTCAACTTCTACCCGAGCTAGCTGTGGCGGTCCATTCTGATTCGGTAAGATCAGGTTTGGTTATCGATAAAATAATTGACAATCAATATAGAATGAGGTGTGACATAATGTCCTAGCATGCACCTGTTCTTAGGGAGAGAGCTAGACCCTTACGACCAACAGTTGGTTCCCGTTCATTTGATATGGAAGCATTGTCTTCCAGAGTTCAGGTGTCTCCATCCCCATTTTCTTGGAGGTACATGTCATCTGTTGTTGGCCTAGAAGCCCCACCAGTTTATTTGATGCACATGTTAGTGTTGTTGTTCCTAATGTTTTTCTAGGAGGCCCCTATGACACTTCACTACTTTAATTATATGCAAACCATGTTGCTAGGCACGTGTGAAATAGAGAGGTAAGATAAACTTGCATTTATTATTTTAAACACTCGTGTTGTAATATTTGAATTTTTAACGATATTGTATTTTTTTTACAGTACCATGAGACTTTAAAATGCATCAACCATAATAGAATGATTACAAAGCTGCAACAACCTGAAAAGCAATGGTTTCATGATGTCATACATCAATCTAAGCTGCAAGATTTATGCATGAATGGTTATAGTGAAGTTCGTTATGAAATGATTCTTTGGATTGACTGCATTTTGCAAAACAACAACATGGAGAAGTGTTCAAAGTGTTCAGGTTAATCTAGCTTGCTTGAGATGTATGGAACCACTGAAGGGACACATGTTGGACATGATGTCACAACATGTGGTACGATATTTAGGAATTTGCTCAACAGGCCACACTGCTGCATTTTGGAGTATTTTCCGTAGAAGATTTGTTAAAGATTTTATGGTTATTGATTTAACAATATGATTAGATGATTTGTTTGACACTTGATTGAAGATTAATTCAGATTTAAATGGAGGTTTAAATTTGAAATAAATTGAAACAAATCATATAATGTTGGAGAGATTTGAGAAACAAATAATATCCAACAGATTCTACACCAAGTCTGGATGAAATCAAATCAAATATCCATGAAGAAAATCTCAGAAGAATTATGCAATATAAGGAGCTCACAACCTGTATTGGAATTCAAGCATTCACATTAAAGATTTTAGAGTGCTATGTTTATAAGGAATCCTTGTTGTCTTATGTACACCACTATGTTTCAGTAACTTAGCATAATAGATTTATCTAGAGTTGAGTGGTAGTATTCAACATTGATTATTGAGTTGTAATCTCCAATCACAAGTTGTGTGATTGAGAAAGAAAGTGGGTAGGTTCTCATGTTTAGGGGGAGCTCTAAATATAAAGTTATTGGGTAGTTTTAGGAAGAGACGTTGAACAACATAGAGTTTATTGTTGCTTGTAAGACTGAATGTACTAAGCTACTAGTAATAAATTTCCTTTCTTGAGTTATGGACTCAACTCTCCAGACGTAGGTGTGGTTTTACCGAACTGGATTACTAATTATCGTTTTACTTACTTATTTTTTGCTTCATTATCTTGTATAAGTTAAACTGTGATTATTATGAAGTTTATGGTTTAACTTGTCAAACCAGTTGTCTAAACATCACATTTGACATATGTCTCACGAGGAACAAAATTTCATATAATGTTAGTAATCATGGTATGTTGCATGCTTTTATGAAGAGATGACACTCATAGGTGTCATCTTTTTATCTTCTACTTTGTGATATGTCCATCACGCTTTATGATGTCTCATCCCTCCCACATATTATGGTCAAGGGAAGATTATTAAACTACTCTAATTTCTCTAGACCTGATTCACTGGATATGATGATGCAATACTCGATAGATGACCTAGGTGATGGCCAAAAGGAGATGGATGACTCCAAATGGTGTCATGCTAGATTTGCATTTCTAGAGGAGCTATATAAATACCACCTGACTAAGATAGTGAATGCCAATGGTGATGATGCACAAGTTTTGCATCATAGAACACGTGCATTGAGTCATACCTCATGTATTTGGTTGACACATCCATATTTGTTGATAAAAATACTTATTATGTTGATGTCGTATACCTTATATACTTCGTTAACTTCAAGAAGATTCATATGTACAAATGAGGGACAATTTATTTAGTTTACTTGTACTCAAAGTTAGGTGAAGCTTGTTTTTGGAAGACTAGACAAATGACAGCAAACAACATATTGTTTACGGTAAAATATATTTTCACCTTTACGATTACTAATATTTTATAACACTTGTGCTACACCGTTACTAATATTTTACCTGAACCCTTTTCAAGAATGAACCATCTCTCATTTTCCATGCATCTCCAGCTTGTCATATGAGAATGAATACAATGAGGCTTGACCACATGCTTCCTCCTTCTCCCCCCGCTCAGAGAGAATCAGGCGATTGACCCATTCCAAGTGTTTCTAGGTCGTATCAGAGTAAATGATATATGTTATACATCGTACAACGATCATCGTCCGACGCATCCTTTGGATGGCATAACCTTATACTCCTGATGATTGGCTTGTGGGTCACACATGATTTATCTACATATGTCTGAGCGAGTTATATGCTGGTTCAGATTTCTACAAGATATTCCAAGAGATCCCACCGAGTCTGCTCATTCCACTATCGTTCATAAATATGTTGATGCGATGTTTGATGATTTTCATAATTATTTGGTACCACAGGAATCACGAAGTGTGCCAGATCCTCAACCATGAAGTAGTGCATCCAACTACACCTAATGATATTTTAGAGTTTCACATGTTTATTATGACACCAGATGTTCAAGAAGATTCACCTAGGCCCTCTATTCAGGAGATATTAGAGGAGGAACATGCTAAGGCAAATCATGTGTTGATGTGTTACCTGCATATCAGTGTATTGTGGCTATTGGACCAACATGTATAAAGAGGGAAGATTTTTCAGAAGTTATTTCTAGGAAGACCACTGTAGAGGCCATGATAGGTGAGACACAAATAACCTTGCAATTAGGGATGGGAATATGCTGGATTGAGCTAGGCTTTGCCAAGCCTGAGCCTGATCTGCTAAAAATATCAAAGCCTAAGTCTGACTTGTGGTCTATCATAGACTTATTTTTAGGCCCGAACCTGACCTTTTTGAAGGTCTGATCGACCTGGTAGCCTACTTAAAAACCTGTTTTATTTGAACATATGTAAATAAGCAACTCAATTAATGCTTTTGTAGACTAAGAATCTAACAGATTAATGGTACTAAAGTTTGTTTACATTAACTTATCTGAGCTTACCTATTATCATAAGTATTGGGAGACTATTTGTTTTGAAAAACTTATGAAAATAACTTATGACAAAGTTCATAAGGTGTTTTCAGCCTATTCTAATAAGTTTTTCAAGATATCATAATTTTATTTTTATATTTTAATTCAAAATACAAAATACAACATAACTATAATAATAAAATTATTCATATTTATTTATATGGGTCTCCTGATAGGTTTAAAAAGTTTTTTTTTTTGACTTGAGACCTAGTCTTTTTAACTAAATAGACTTATAAAAAAACCTAAGCCTTTTTTATTTAAGAAAAAAAACCTATTATGGCCTGAGCCCGTGTATGTTAAACCGTAAGCTCCTGTTAGTTGGTCTGACCTGTTTTCACCCCTATTTATAGTACATAAGGCAAATAAAGAATCAAATGAGTTAGAAATATCCAACAGTTCATTCTTACTTATATTTTGATAATATTTGTATTATGATTTATAATTTATTAATAATGGTGTTTGATTATAAATTTTAATTGAACTAATATATGACATCTTAATTGAATCTCATCACTAGAAGGTTTAATTAAAGTTTTTAAAAAAATGTCAAACTTATAACAAATTTATTGTCTAGAATGGAAACTAATTATCTAGAGAATTAATACGGAAATATACTTGTAAATTATTTTCTGAATTATAAAATAAACACTTTACTATAAATTTAAAATGTGTCTAGAAATTATTACACAAATGCAGATATGAATTCACCCTTTCATCGGTAAGAAGATACAATTTCATACTAACTTTTAGCACAATGGAACGAGTGAATGTAGTATATTTTGAATAAGTAGATAAAAATACTTCGGAATTTATGAAGAATAATTTTGAGTTTTACAAGGGTGTGAAGAGTAACCCCAATACAAGATTACTAGCAACCCATGTTAGTAGATGGGCCTACGAGGGCTCGTGACATTGGGCTAAAGTGCCCATTACCGTTCCCGTTCCCGTTCCCGTTCGAGAGCAGAGCAGTTATCGGAGCAAAACACAGTCAACAATGGCGGCCAGTGCTGAACTCTCTCCCTCTAAAATCCTAGACACAATCAACGCTCAGGATTCCACCTTAGAACCAACTCTAACAACTCCACAAGACTCCCAAATCAATGAAGCAAAAAACGACGTCGCACCGACCGAGAAACGGAAAAGAGACGACGCCGACGGCAACACCAACACCGATGACAACCGTTCTCTCCACCCCTTGTGGAAGACCAGTCTATGTTCCTACTTCAGGAAACACGCCTCCTGCAGCCACGGCGAGACATGCCGATACGCGCACAGCGAGGAGGAGCTCCGGCCTCGACCGGACAGCACGTGGGACCCGACGTCTGAGAGAGGTAAGAAGGCACTGAAATCCGTTACCGGCGAGAAAATCGCCGTTAAAGACGGTGTAATGATGACGGAGCTTGTCGACGATATCGATGGCGACGAGGACGACGGTTTTGCATCCAACCAAGCGCTCAGCAAATGTTTAGTGCATTTGCCGATGAAATGGAGCTCTGAGAATTTGAGGAATTTCCTCAATGAGCAGGTAAGCATGTTTCAGGGTTTCACTTTTTGATAAGCTAAAATTGAAATTCTAGAATTGATTTTGATATATTTGATGTTCTATAAGCATAATTTTATTTTGGCTCTAAACCTGATTCTAAGTTGAAGTTTGAATTTGTACATTTTGCTTCAAAATGTTTTTTAGAATGTTTGATATTTTTGTTCACTTTCTCTAGGGTATACCTTTTAAGCACGCCAAGACAAAGAAAGGTATGGCGATTGGTTTCGTTACTTTTGAAGATGAAGAACAACTTAAGAGTTCTTGTAAGGTAGTTTTGTTATGATGATGACTAATAATCCTTATTGATCTTAAAATCGTAGTTTGCAATTGATGATTGATAATTATGGATTTAATAGGATTTAGAAGGGAAACAAATAGGCAACAAAACGATAGAGGTAGCTGATGTTAATCCTCGATCATTTGAGAAGAAAAGTAACTCTAGTGTTCCTTCAAGTGGGGCATTGGATGATGAACCAAATGATGATAGTTTGGTAATTGATGGTTCCGACTCAAAGAAAAGAAGTTCGCGTGAAGTCGTGACTCCTTTGGCTCATTTGTCCTATGCTGATCAGTTGGAGCAGAAAAAATACTCTCTCATGCAGATTCTCAAAAAGCTTGTTAGTCATGATTGTTTCTATTTTATCACTGTAGTTTTATGTATATACTTATGTATAGATTTCTTAAATTGAACTCTTAAATTGTTTTGACAGCCTAGAAATGCTCGTAAAGCTTGTCCAAATGGCGTTCCAGTTCCTGAATGGATTCTCAAGTCTAGGGAAATAGGTAGCATTTTATATCTGTAAAGTTTGTTCAAATCTTCGAGAATAATTTAAATTTAAAATGTCCCGGAGTTTAAAAATTTGAGGTGCTAGTTTGAAATTTCTGATTTAGTTTTAGATTTTTCTTCATGATTTCACTCCTTACGTTATTATTTCTGTGTGGTTTACTATAGAAAGTACAGTAAAAAATTAAGTGGATTCAATTCTTATTAAGCCACTTCTTTCTCACACTTGTGCAGGTGGTCTTCCATGCAATCTAGAGGGTATTATTGAATCACCAATTGTAAATGGATATCGTAATAAGTGTGAGTTTTCTATTGGATATTCTATGGAAGGCAAAGCAACAGTGGGCTTCAGCCTTGGAAATTTTAGGTATTCTGCACCTTCTCTGTTTGCTGAGTGGTTTGCTTGTAAGTTCTTAATTCTATACTAAAATATTTTAATAGGGAAGGTGTAACAGCAGTTGAGGAACCAGTTGACTGCCCAAATATTTCTACCATTGCTTGCAAATATGCTGCTATCCTTCAAGAATTTCTACAGCACACTGAATTACCAGTTTGGAACAGATTTAAAAATTGTGGATTTTGGCGTCAATTGACGGTATCCTAGTTGGATTCTATGTTGAAAATTTCATCGCCATGTTGATTATTATTTTTAGATATGGTTCTTATTTTTCATTTCATTATGTGTTTTTAACACACTTTGAAAATAATTGGTTTTGTAAGGTTCGAGAAGGGAGGTCAAATGGGAATACTGATGATGCTGAAACTTTTGACGGTATTGCAGAGGTCATGCTTATTGTGCAGGTTATTTTTTTAGCTTTTTGATGAATGTGCTGGTTATTATCCTCTAAAAATAATGTTGGAACTTGGAAACACCCTTTGAGTGAATGGTTGGTGGGGGAGGGTGATAGTTTATTATTCCTATAGAAAGGCTCAATCTTATTGTGAACATTTAGAATAAAACTGACATGCCTTTGTACTTACATTATTATGTTAACGTTGTAAACTTGTGGTATGGTTTAGATAGGGAGACAAGACCCTGGAATACTTGGAGCTTATGATTTGGGTTTCCCTTCTTTCTTTCAAATGTCATTCATAACTTGTTGTCTTTGTTGTTCTTGATTTTAGGTCTCTACTGCAAGTTTTGATGATGCACAAGTAGCTGCTGAATTTAAGAGGCTTGCTCAGGCATTCATTACAGCAGCTACTTCTCATTGTGCAACTTTGCCCCTTACAGCTCTGATTGTTCAGGTAGCAGCCTGTCTAATCCAAGTTTCTTTTGTCATAGATTGTTTGTTAAGTATCAATTTCGCATACTCATGCATATTCATCTATTATAAATTAGAGCAATCCAATGATGTTACTATTCCATTGTTTTGTTACTCTAAAAACATGGCCATAATATTAGGTTCTTTTTTGTTTGAGAAAAAAACATCAAGTTACCATCTATGTCATACCTGAAGTGTTAGATTTGATAGTTTCTTTATTAAATTTAGACAAATCTAAAGTGTTAGTTATTGGTTGTTGTTTTTCAATTTTGATGGCATGTTATGGCGTAACTTAATTTTTAGATTGACTTCCAATGAAATTGATCTTTCATGTAGGATCACCAAGGAATATCCAATGTTGCACCATCTGATGCACCGTTGCATTCACTTGCCATAGGAGCTGGTGACCCTGAGAGGGATGAAAGCATTAGTGCTGCAGATGTTAGAATTCATGATTATATCAGCAATCTCCGATTCTCCATATCTCCAACCTCATTTTTTCAGGTTGGAATGAAAATTGTTGTTTCATACTGGTTTCAACAGCATTTACTTTACAAGAATATGAAGTTTTGAGTCTACTGCTATAGGTTAACACACTTGCTGCCGAGAAGTTATACTCCCTTGCTGGAGATTGGGCATGCTTAGGTCCTGATACATTGCTATTTGATATATGCTGTGGGACAGGAGCAATTGGCCTGACATTAGCACATCGTGTTGGAATGGTAATAATCACCATATAAGCTTATTTCTTGCCTTAAAAAAGTTTCTTTTTTCTTTTTAACTTGCAGATCTTTAGGAAATTTATTGTAAAATATGCCCCTTTGGAGGTATTATATGATGTACTGATGACATTTGCATTGGTTGAAAAAGACTTTCTGCTTTACTATTTAAGAGCTCATTTTCCAAAAAAAATCTGTTTTTTTATTTTTTTTTGGATTTGCTTGAATTAGACTTTTCTTGGGTTCTTCCAGGTTATTGGAATTGAAATGAATGCTGCTGCTGTATCTGATGCTCATAAGAATGCGGAGAATAATGGCATAAAAAACTGTAGATTTATCTGTTCAAAGGTGAGATCAGCCATCTCGATTTTTCAAATACAGGTTTAATTTTTTTAGTGGTAGCTGTCCAGAAATAAGGCTTGAATTTGTAATTAGTATCACAATGAGAGTTTTTTCTCAATGGAAAATTTTCAATGCTTTAATTGTTTCCTTAAATTTACATTGCAACTTTTGCATGCTTGCTTATATGTGGAAACAGGCAGAGCAAGTTATGGGATCTCTGTTAAAAGAATACCTTAATGTGCCCAAGGAACAAGTTGATGATCCTAATATCTGTGGAACTGTTAATGACATTCCTGAAGACAGTGCCGGCCCAGAGCCCGAAAATGGTAAACAGGCATCTCATTGTTCTGAAAATAACAATTCAGAAGTTGAAAATGAGGGTCCGAAGGAAAGCACTTCTGAAACTGGGAATACTTCCATGAAACAATTTAAAAATGTTGTGGCTATTGTTGATCCTCCCCGTGCTGGACTTCATCCAACTGTAAGAATTACATTTACACTATAATTTCTTCATTTTATTTGCATTAGTGATTACTACCATAACTCTAGTAGCACATTGTGTAAAATATGATAGTTTCCATGCGTTTTTCAGAAAAACTTTTTCTTTTTCCTGTCCTGTCTAGTTGTCTACCGTTTTTGTAGGACATAGAGACTTAGGTTTTAGCAAGCAGTTTTATTTGCCCTTGCAGTACAATATATATCAGGTTTCAATCAGAGTATAGCTGAAATTGAAATCTTGCCTTTACCCATGATTGTGTTGATTTCCTTCATCCCCACTGCCGCCCCTTGTTGGTCCAAGGTTTTTCTCCTTAGAACCAATTTTTTTTTTAGGTTGCTGCTTTTGCTTAAAGTTCAAGTATGCTTAAATACCGTGATTCCTCCTGCTGTTCTCTGTCAGGTTGCTTGCAGGCTCCTGTTCCACAATTCCTAGAGATGATTATTTATAGCGACTTTCTTTGCATAGCGTTGGTCTAACATGTCTTTTATTGCAATATTTCTCTTGTACCATTTAATTGCATATATCTACATTGCAGTCTTCTATATTGTAGTGTAGATTTTTTCAAGGATTTAATTCATTTACAATGTCAATAAAAATGTTCGACTTCAATCGTAACTACTTTTAAAGTCACACATGAGATTGATTGTGATTTGTTGATAGTGTAAATCTTTTCACACTAACAATGTATCAAAATTAAGTTATTAAAATTAACTTAGGAACATGTTACGTTTTTCTCAAAAACTGAATTCTGACTTTTGAATTGTGGGATTGCAGGTGATAAAAGCTTTAAGAACCCATACACGCCTGCGACGACTCGTGTTAGTTCTTGTTCTGAACTATGCTATACACTTATTCGACTTATTTTCATTTTCTTGGAAATCTAATTTTGGACATTTTAATGCAGTTACATATCATGTAATCCTGAAAGTTTGGTGGCAAATGCTATTGAGCTCTGTACGCCATCCCCCACAGAAATCGAAAGAGGAAATAAAGACAACAGAGGATGGAGAAGGATGAGTAGTGCTGGTCTAGCTCGGCATAGGGCAAAGTCTATGCCGATTTCAGAGGCCTTCAAACCCATAAAAGCAATGGCTGTTGATCTTTTTCCACATACTCCACATTGTGAATTGGTTATGCTTCTTGAAAGGTAGGTTGTAATGGAGTTTAGGCTGAAGTATATTTTATTTCCTAGGCTCTAAAATTCAATTGTCTAACAAAATTTTGCTCTTGTTACAAGCTGTGACGAATGTATGTTAGTTAGGGCTTATATGTTTTGATCTTGTGCTCTTTAAATTATGCTGAAGCACGACTTTCGAAATTCAGCTGCCATATAGTTTCTTTCCTGCTGTATGTATCATGAAGCTTGATTACTGTTTTGAAACATATTTGGGGTTACTGTAGTTCTCAGACATTTTATTTCTATTTTTTCATGACGCCTGATGCCGAAAATTCATTGCATACTCTTTGAGAAACAGTTAATACTTCCTTCGAGTACATCACTCTTGAATGTGATCCAAAATTTCAACTTATGTAGCCAAATTAAAATTATATCTACCACTTAACAGAAGTGGTACTACTGCCTTTGCTCAGTTTAGAAAACAAATTTTTTTTTTCTTTCTTCTGAATAGTCTACCACTTTTTTCATTTTAAGAAATTTGTTTGGCTTTGTAAATAGTTTTTTTAAACTTTAAACATAAGAGGGAGAGTTGAATTGTGTTGATAAAAAATTGGAACTAATTTATAAAATATTGTTTTTGAAACAATTATTTTAGTTTTGATAAGTTCACAAACGATAGCAGAAATATATTAAAAAGATGAAGAGAGAATTGCAGTAGAAATAACATAAAAGTAGAAATAACATAAACAACAGGAATAAAAGAGAGAAGAGATAGAGGAAGTATATCAAAGATTTATATATGTTTGGTCTAATATTTTAGCAATACAACTTGTGAAAAATACGGAAATCCTAACCCAAAAAAAACATGGATTAATCGATTAAAAACTTTTTAATTGATTAAGAGGTCATTAACTTTTATCTAATTGCTTGAATCAAATACTTAATTGATTAGACATTGTAAAAACTTTTTCATTTGATTAGAAATATTTCTTAATCAGTCTGATATAAGTTTTGATATGTTTTAAGAAGTTTTATGAAATAAGAGTTTTAAAAAACATTTTTAAATGTGTGATTGCTTCAATACTATTTTAATCTTTTACATTTTAATTAATCATTGTAAGACACTAAGAGCATCCATCATCTCTTCATGGGTTCTTTAAATGAGACCCACTTAATTTTTTATATTATATCACACTTTCACATTTTCTAAACAACCCAACTACATTTTTTAAATATCCATCAAAAACTTTAAAATAGATTCCATTAATTGAAATTAAAATTAATATTTATGGCTTATAACAATTTCCATTAATGATATAACCATTACTTTTTTACACTTGGCAAAAAAATCAGTTAGAGAGCATGGTTAAATAAGAGAACATGCACGAATGTAGAAACGTTAGTTTTCTCTCAATTATCCAAATATTAAAATCAAATTTATTAAAAACTGTGTAGCAACGGCATTTTGTCAGCCGATAATCATGCTCTAAATGCAAATCAAAAGTTTTCACGCTTTTACAATTTCAGATCTTTAAATTGCCTTGTTTGATACAACAAAGACTAGTCACTTATTGATGAGGTTTGAGATATTTTTTTGATTAGGTATATTCATCCGAGATTTTTTAGACAGTAGAAATCAACTAACATATCACAAAGGACTCTTAACATAAAAAAAACCATTTGACTTATATCTTCAAAATAATTCATCACTTGTCATCCTCAAAAGCAATTATAGTCATATTTACAAACATATATCCACAATATAAATGTTATACAATTGTCAAATACCGACATGTATCCGACACCACAAACATTTTAATTTTAAAAGTCTTAATACAACTAACAAGTAAATTAAAAAAAAACTTTTTAATTTGAATTCTTATTAAGATAATCTTTTAATTTTTTATTAAAAAGATATATTCTCATCGATCTTATTTATAAGTAAATATTCTTTTTTAAATTTATTGAATAATACTGTATCTGATATCAAATATATTCATTATTCAATAAATCTAAAAGGAAATATTAAATAAGATTTAGTAGACAATAATGGACTGACTAATTTTTAATATTGATAAAGTTAGTGATTATATTAATTTTTGGATTGAACTTGAGACTTTGTTGACTGAGCAGTCAAATAATGAGTGGTTTAAGTTGGCAATTGATAATGCCTACTAGTACTGCCGACATATGTTCAACACTAAGTACTAGTAGTTACCACATTGTTGGAGGTGGGTCACCCAAACACTTTTCCCAGAAATAATTAGTGGATTGATCTACTCCTTCCGGTCACAATTATAACCTAAATAATTACTTTCACATAAATTAAAAAAATTAATTATATATAAGTAATTTTCTTAATTTCATATATAATCAAAATAAAATTTATTATAATATCTTTAATTATATTTAATGAATAAACTATTAATATTAAATATTTTGATTTAAAATAAAATAATAATAATAATAATAATAATAATATAAATATTTATTAGTCTAAGAGTTAATGACTTTTTAGTGATCAAATTTAAAATTATTTTTTTATTTATAATAGTGATCAAGAAGTATTTTTCAATTCAAAATTAAAAGACTTGATCAATTGACACCACTTTACTTTGTCAGATGGAGTAAGAGCTTTTCTTGTTTGTTTTATAAATTATATTTCACATAAACTTTTTTATTGCTTTTTTTACATAATCTTCCTAATTAATTTTTTATTATTATTTTACCGTCTATATTTCACTTTTCTTTTTTATCAATAGAGAAAATAAATTTCAAATATTATGTTAACATGTTCAATTTAGATTTATCCACGATAACCTCCTTTTCCACGTACGAACTGCTACTTTAAGGTTGGCTTGATCTGCTGGTGGTGTGGAGTCAGTCACTATCAATCAAATTTAACAAATTTGCCTAGGGGTCAAGAAACAGGGCGGTAGGACTAAGTGCAAGTAATGAAAGTATGAAAAAAAATGAATATTTGACCCTCACATGTGAGAGGATATTTATAGTCCCCAGTGTTGCACCAAGATCTACGCGTTGGGCCAGACAATTAGGTCCAATAACATAGACTATCAGAATTACGTGTGTATAAAATTCAGCATGTGGCCTCCTCCATGGTCAACAACCCCGAGATATAGGGAAGTTGGATCTGTTATTCTCGGTGGGTAGAAATGGTGGAGGTCATGGACAATTGTTGGCAGCGTTTTCCTAAGAGGCACTTGAGGAAATCCTCAACGGTTGTCAACGTGGGTTGGAACCCATTGGGTCTCAAAGGCGTTGGATTCGACCTACTAAACGGTGGGCCAAGTGCCAGCCCAATCCAGAACAAGAGCCCCCCAAGTCATTGCTCTTAGACGAAAGAGTGATGACTTAAGACCGGCAAGGTTGTTAGGGAGACGTTGCCCGACAAAAGGATGACTACTTTGGTCGGGGATTACGTGGTCGCCAAATCGACTTCCTCGTCTATTTTTCATAGATGCGCCCTCTTGCCTGTCAAAATAAGGGGCGTGTGTGGCATGAGCAATTTGTTATGGAGAACTCGCTTCGGCTGGTCCGTTGATTGTCCGCCTTCGCGTAGTTCCTTGAAAGATGCCCCTGTTTGCAGAAACACGTAGATGTTTTCTCCGAACTTACCTCCTCGAGGTACCCAGGTGATAAAGTGCATTGCGCTCGCGGAGAAAGCGTGTAAATTTTCCCCGTCTGTCTTCGCGGGATGCCCGTAGAAAAAGCGTCGCAACAATGTCGAGCATGTGTTCGACAATGAGGACTTTGAAACATCGTCAGCGTGTGGTTTCGCGTGGGATTCTTTGAAGTAGGGATGAAAATGGGTATCCATGGGTACGAGTACTAGTCTCCCGCTACCCTCCCCATTTAGTAAATATGACACCGTATCCGTCTCATACCCGTGCGAATATCCGTTAGACGGGTATCCGTGGATATTCAGATACCCACAGGTATTTACGGGTATCCATGTATACTATTATTTAAATATATTTTTAAAAATATATATTTAAATAACTAATTTTTTATCTCTTTTAAAAAAAATATATTATTTTCAAATTTAACACATAATAAATAATAACAAAAATAAATCACATTCATTTTATTTCTTCTTTTATCAAAATAATAATAATAATAATATCATATTTAACAAAATAACAACAACAACAACAATAATAATAATAATAATAATAATAATAATAATAATAATAATAATAATAATAATAATAATAACTTTTTATCAAACAAATTAATATTTAAGTATTTTTTACTAATTATTAACAGATACGGATACCCGCGGGTACGAGTACCATCAAATCCATATTTGTATCCGTAAGTAAACAGATAACTAAATATCCGTTTATTTTACCTATGGATACCCATTAAACCATGATACCCGTGCCCGTGATGGATTTTACCCGCAGGTATCTACAAGTACGAGTTTTTTGGCCATCCCTATTTTGAAGTCTAAGCGACGCATCATTTTGTATGCCACACATAGCGGCTATTCAGAATGTCATTTCCTGGGGAAGCCTAAGGGTCTGGGTAATGATGACTCCCTGCAGGATATTCCGTGTGGTGGGGACTAGCTATAAAAGGAGGTGAAGGAATTCATTTGAGCATTTTTTCATCTGCTCTCCTCTTGCTTTACCTCCACTTGCAAGCTGCTTCGTTGCCGTCACTACCACCATAGATTTTTCCAGCATTCATCTCTCTAAGTAAGTGATTTTCTTAAGCTTGTTGATTTACTTTAGGGTTTTAAACGAACGAATTAAGTTCTGGAGAAGTTCATGATTTCTGGATGAATATTCATGAGTTTTCAAATGAAGTTCATGAACTTAGGATGAAAATTCATGAATTCTGAATGAAGATCCACGTATTTCAGATGAACTTCATCCTAAGTTTATGTCGAGGAGAGTGTCCGCGATTTTATGCTTACTCGAGGGGAGTTTTTTCCTTTCGTGCGATCCATTAAGGGCTTGAGTCGAGGACCCACCCTCGAGGAGCTCCTCGCCCATTCACTTGACTTGC